AGGCGTGCAGAGCTTGGGGAGGTCGTGAGGTCGAAGCCTGGATGAGAATGAATGGAAATCCCCAGGTTGATCACTTTCCCCCTCCCCACCTCCTCTCCCCCCGCGCCAGCTTGCAGGGCTCTGGTGGATGAACTAGAGTGGGAAATTGCCCAGGTGGATCCCAAGAAGACCATTCAGATGGGCTCTTTCCGAATCAATCCGGATGGCAGCCAGTCAGTGGTGGAGGTAACTGTTACTGTTTCCCCAAATACAGTAGCTCACTGTCAGGTTGAATGAGGACTCGACTAATTAAGGAGCTTGGTTTAATAGAAAGGAAGAGAACATTGACCCAGAGAGGGACCTGAAAGATAGGCTGTCTCATTGGGGAGCGGCTGGAGACTTACACCCTGTGCACTGGCTTCCTGGTTCCAAGCCTTGACACTTGGTTTCTGCTGTAGATGTTAGCAGACCGGGAACCCGGATCAGCCCTCTCTCCACATCCTTAATCCATGTGACTCGTGTTTTCAGTGGCAGTATGGTACTCACACATTCACAAAAAAGAAACAGACGTTCTCATTCTTATATTTAGGAAATTTATTTTAGTTGAAAACATAACACATATAATAAAGTTGTCCCTAATGAACAATAAAGAAATGTAAATGTAATGCTTGTGAAATGATTTAATAGTTGTTATCCTCAAAACCTATACTACCTTTCTAATGTTCTCCTATTGAGAGCAGGTTTTAGTCTCATTGTAATACAAAGTCATTATTGTACATCCATAAACATTAAAGGAATTCAAAGGAAAAGAACACATAGTTGACGAGGGTTAATCGAAGAGGTCTCTTTATAATTTGGGCCTAATGGCACCTGTTTTATATCTTGGGCTTGTATATGGGTAAAATAAGACTATGTACAGTATTTGAAAACACTTTGGAATTACAAAAATAAACCCATGCTGTTTTTATATAAGGCAGGCTTTTTACAATAGGTTGGTTGAGCTAGATTTGGAAGCAAAAGTAAGGATGTAAATTACTAATGTACAGTGACCCAAGGCTGAGGACATTTCTAGGTGCCTTATGCTCGCTCAGAGGCCCACCTCACGGAGCTGCTAGAGGAAGTATGTGACCGGATGAAGGAGTACGGGGAACAGATGGACCCTACCACCCACCGCAACATTTACATACGTGTAGTGAACCGGAATGGAGAACCCAAAGACCTGAATCTAGAAGGCATCCGAATTGATTCAGACATCCGTGGCACCCTCAAGTTTGCGGTGAGCTATGGGAGTGGGTAGCTGGTTCTTAGAAATTAGGGGAGTTATTGGAGAGCCCAAGTGGAAAACAGGATTAATATCCTTGTTCTCGAGTCAGAAGCAAGAGCCTCTTCTTGCTGCCTTCTCTCACTCGGTTCTTCCTTGGGTTGGCAGTGTGAGACCATTGTGGAGGAATATGAGGATGAACTCATTGAATTCTTTTCCCGAGAGGCTGACAATGTGAAAGACAAACTTTGTAGCAAGCGAACAGGTAAGCTGCTCCCAGGTTACCTTTTGTCCTCACAGCTCTGTGGAATCAGGCACATGCCCTAGCAGTCGCCCTACCCCTGATAGTAGCTCAAGAGTTGGCTTCCGTGACCCATGGCTTAGGGACTTGGGCTGTTCCTATTCATTCTCTTCCTGTCAGCTTTCAGAATTTGTGGCTCGCTCATGAGGTAAAAGTCAGAGGATAATGGGAATGTTTTATCATTTAAAAGCATATTGCCCTAACTGGTTTGGCTCAGTGGATAGAGCGTCAGCCTGCAGACTCAAGGGTCCCAAGTTCGATTCCAGTCAAGGGCATGTACCTTGGTTGCGAGCACAACCCTAGTAGGGGGTGTGCAGGAGGCAGCTGATCGATGTTTCTAACTCTCTATCCCTCTCCCTCTCCCTCTCCCTCTCCCTCTCCCTCTCCTTCCTCTCTCTCTCTCTCTCTCTCTCTCTCTCTCTCTCTCCCTCTCTCCCTTTCTCCCTCTCTCCCCCCACCCCAAGCCCCCTTCTCCCTTCCTCCCTCCTTCCTTCCTCTCTCTAAGCATGTCCTCGGGTGAGGAGTAAAACAAAAAAACATGCTTTGAAAAATGGTGGTTGATATGTGTATCAGTTTGATTTGGGGGTATTTTCTTAATAGTGGCATATATCAATATAAGAGTGGCATTTTCTTTCCAACTGTTCTGTGCTGTTTGCAGATTTATGTGACCATGCCCTGCACATACCGCATGATGAGCTGTGAATCACTGAGCGGGCCCAACTGACAAGCTTGATGGATCACCCCCAGGAGGGGAAAAGGTGGCAATGCCGTTTATATTATGTTTATAATGAAATGAACTGAAAAAATATGAAACTAAAAGGATGAACGGTGTTGTCTTTTCATGCCCAGAATTGGTCCTTAGATTAGGTTTGAAGATGGGGGGTTCCAGACAGGAAATAAAAGGGAAGGGAAGGACGAGCGTTGGGAATGGTATCGCAGGAAGGGAGGAGGAGCCTGAAGCTTTCGTTCTTTGCCATCTGAGATTACTGCTGCACTCACAAACGAGGTAAACATTTACTCAGTGCCTACTCAAATGTGTCTCAAGCTTAATTGTGGAGAAAAGAGGACCCTCTGTGAATGAGCAGAAGAACATAAGTAAGCGTATGGTGGCATAGGATTCTAGAAATTACATGTGTTCATACTGATGAAACGTAAAGTAAAACCGCTTGGTCTCGAAGGAAATAATGGACATGCATTATTCTTTCCTCCCTGCCCTTCCAGATGGAGGGATCAACAAGAGCATTCAGGAAGGGGAAAATGGATGTGATCAACTCAGCTGAAAAGTAAGGGCTTTTTCAGATAGGGAGAAATTAGGTAAGGAATGTTATTTAATGAAAGACCTTATTTGATGGCCTACGTTTTTAGATTTGGTGCCAACAGCAAGTATACCCTTTTCATCTTCATCACTAGCTAATGTCAATCTAGACTATAAGTCTGTCCTCACTTTCTGTATGTAGAGATTCTGTACTGGGGTATAGTGATGAAAACAAAGGATACTTTTTTAAATACCTGATTCGGGGATGTGGCTGTCTTAGGTTTGAAATGGAACATTTCTGTCTCAGGAAGGCCTCAGAGAGAACCTGAATAAACATTTCAAAGACTTCTTAAATTAAGCGTTTGAGAATCTAAAGGAACCTTGGAGGTCATCTAGTTCACCTCTACCCATTTACATATGAAGAAAATAAGGCCCGGAGAAACCACAGGCTCTGAAGTTACGTATTCAGTGACAAAACTGGATCTACTATACGCTCTTTCCAAAAGTTAATATGATCCGATATAGCCATGAACTAGCTTCTATTTTAAGTCTTTTTTCCCTCTTATTACCTTGTACACAGAATGAATGTATTCCACAAAGCTTTCTTATACCACAATCCCTATGAAATCTAACACATGATATAGCTTAGAGAAAGTACCCTAAAATTAGTTGACAACTAACTAAACCAGTGATAGCGAACCTATGACACACGTGTCAGAGGTGACACGCGAACTCATTTTTTGGGTTGATTTTTCTTTGTTAAATGGCATTTAAATACATAAAATAAATATTAAAAATATAAGTCTTTGTTTTACTATGGTTGCAAATATCAAAAAATTTCTATATGTGACCCTGCACCAGAGTTATGTTAGGGTTTTTCAAAATGCTGACACGCCGAGCTCAAAAGGTTCGCCATCACTGAACTAAACTCGAGATCTAGTGCTAATTTCTTCTTCTCTCATCATTGATAAGAAATGCTATATCCTATCAAATCAATTTCCCAGAGCAGCTTACTAACCTTTTTGTCTTCTGTGATGCACATGAATCATGTTCACATGCTTCGTAACCCTGTGAGTATGCCCAGGATTCTGTCCATTGCCTGCCTGGTATCTAAACACTTCTTACTCTTCCATCAAAAAGCTTATTAGAAATATAAGTAAGAGTAGTCAAATAGGGAACTTGAAACTTTTAATTTACAAAAAATATCCACAAGTTTTAATAAAATAAATTTAATGTTAATCAGTAACAAATTACTTGAGATGCACCTTGCTAGTTTGTCAGGGAACAGCTGTTAAGAACTCTCCCAGCCCAGGTCTTTGCCCATTGTACACTGGGATGTGTCCTACATAGGGAAGAGTGGATGTGATTGTCTTTGACTTGCTCCTTGGGAAGGTAGGAGGATATACTTTGTATATCTCTTAATTCATATCATAAATTACTACAAGGAATTGGTTAATTTACCTAAACCCTCTGGAGGCTGTTCTAGCCCAGTATTTGATACAATGTATACTCGACCTAGCATATCTGGTTACACTTTAAGCTTTAGATGCCTTTTAATGAATTTATCAGTGAAATGGTAAAACTCAAAACATTCCCAAAGCCAGTGTTTAAATGCTATCTGGACGTGACTAAGAAAATTTATTATGTGAAAAACCAGTCCTTTAAAAATAAGTTTCAGAGGATGTTTTGCTGTTAAAAAGCATTCAGAACAGGAACAAGCCCTGGTTGGTGTAGTTCCCTTAGAGCGTCATCCCAGGCACCTAAAGGTTTCAGGTCCATTCCCAGTCAGGGCACATGCCTAGGTTGTGGGTTCAGTCCCTGGTTGGGCACATACGGGAGGCAACCAATCGATGTTTCTCTCTCGCTCTCTAAATCAATAAAAAAAATGTTTTTTTAAAGAAATAAAATGAGTAGGGACAAGATTCCTTTAAACACAGAACTGGGATGAATAGCAAGGAACTGGTACAGTTGACCCTTAAATAATGTGGGGGTAAGGAGCACCAGTCTCCACATAGTTGAATATCCACAAACAACTTTGGACTCCCTGGAAACTTAGCTGGAGTTGTCCCTTGGTGCCCCTGGAAGACTGGTTCCCACTGACGCCAAAATATGCAGATGCTCAAATCCCTTAGATAAAATGGCATAGAACAATGCATATACTTACTTGGTCCTCTGCATCCACGATTCCCAACTGCAGATCAGAAATACTGTTTTCGGTCTGTGGATATGAAACCTGGGGATACAAATGGCCGACTGTATACTTAACTGAAAAAATCTACATATAAGTGGACCTACTGCATATGTTGAATACTCTCATAACAAGGACATACATACACATTCTGATTTAAGGTTACAACTCTTAGGAAATAGATGTGCCTGGTTGGTGTGACTCTGTGGTTGAGCATCAACCCATGAACCAGGAGGTCACAGGTTTGATTCCTGGTCAGGGCACATGCCTGGGTTTCAGGCTCAGTCCCCAGTTGGGGGCGGGGGAGGTGCAAGAGGCCGCCAATCGATGATGTTCTCTCATCATTGATGTTTCTGTCCCTCTCCCTCTCCCTTCTCTGAAGTTAATAAAAATATATTTTAAAAGGTGCTACACCCATTTTACAGATGAAGCTAAGTTCAAAGAGGTTGAGCTTGCTAGTCAGCAGGGAACCAAGACTGCAACCCTAGTGATCATCTTACCCCTAGGCCAGTGGTCTTTCTGTTAAACCTCACTCTCTATAATGGACTCTCATAGTCCCCAGTGGCTGTGAAAAGTTGTACTTCTTTTATTTAAAAACTTCCTCCAATCTATAGTGAAAAAACACTATAGCCTCTTCAGCCATTTTCCCAAACTGATTATTCTGTGTAAGCCCATTCTACCCCCTTGGTCATTTTAGGTGCTAAATGTTTGTCTCCCCTACCTTTAACTTTTCTGGGAGGATCACCATTTAGCATATATTTCAAGTATGGGTATACAAAGGTTTTTACAGATAAGTAAGTAGGTCTTATTTTAAATATATATTTTATTTTAGAGAGAAAGGAAGGGAGAGAAAGAAACATTGATCAGTCACCTCTACCAAGGATCAAGCCCAAAACCCGTGCTTGTGGCCCGACTGGAATTGAACTGGTGATCTCTTGGTGCATCTCAGCCTACTGAGCCACACCGGCCAGAGCAGTAGTTCTTTACCTTTTACTTTTTAAAATATATTTTTATTGATTTCAGAAAGGAAGGGAGAGGGAGAGAGAGATAGGAACATCAATGATGAGAATCATTAATCTGCTACCTCTTGCACCGAACCCTACTGGGGATTGAGCCTGCAACCCGGGCATGTGCCCTGACTGGGAATCAAACTACAACCTCCTGATTCATAGGTCGATGCTCAACCACTGAGCCACTGTGGCCAGGCACCTTTTAAAATACTTTTATTTTTATATTATTTTTTATTTTTCTAACATTTTATTGATTTTTTTACAGAGAGGAAGGGAGAGGGATAGAAAGTTAGAAACATCGATCAGCTGCCTCCTGCACACCCCCTACTGGGGATGTGCCCACAACCAACGTACATGCTCTTGACCAGAATCGAACCTGGGACCCTTGAGTCCGCAGGCCGACGCTCTATCCATTGAGCCAAACGGTTAGGGCTTTATATTATTTTTTAAATATATGTTTATTGATTTCAGAGAGGAAGGGAGAGGGAGAGAGATATAGAAACATCAGTGATGAGAGAAAATCATTGATCGGCTGCCTCCTGCACGCCCGCCAGTGGGGATCGAGCCCACAACCTGGGCATGTGCCCTTGGCCAGAATTGAACTTGGGACCTTTTAGTCCACAGGCTGATGCTCGATCCACTGAGCCAAACTGGCTAGGGCTAAAATATTTTTAAATATAGAAAAACATACTTATCTAAATTTTTATTTTCTCCTCTGTAGAGTTATTAATATTTATATCCCTTAGAGTTGTGAGGATTGAGATAATACATGTATCTGTAAATAGTAACTATTCAATCAATTTTAGTTATTACCCCTTAAATACAGGCGTTTGTTTTACTGATGTAGAGTTTAAATTTAGGCCAGTGATGGCAAACCTATGACACGCATGTCAGAGGTGACAACGCAAACTCATTTTTTTGGTTGATTTTTCTTTGTTAAATGGCATTTAAATATATAAAATAAATATCAAAAATATAAATCTTTGTTTTACTATGGTTGCAAATATCAAAAAATTTCTATATGTGACACTGCACCAGAGTTAAGTTAGGGTTTTTCAAAATGCTGACACGTGGAGCTCAAAAGGTTCGCTGTCACTGGTAGGCTGTGGTCTCTCACTTATTCTTGGCCACCAGAGGGCACCATTGCCTTTGTCTATTTTAAAGAAGCCCTCTCAAGGTCAGGATGACCTCAGTGCTCAGCCTTCTCTCTTGCCCACTTCAGTTCTCAGGCACTTATTTGTATCTGGGCCCTAGAACTCACTTGGTGGTTTTAGCCATACCAATCTTTTCCCCTTACCTTTCTTTTTTACTTTTTTTATTGATGGATTTTTTTTTTTGAGAGAGAGAGAGAGAGAAACATTTATTTGTTGTTCCAATTTTTTATGCATTCATTGGTTGCTTCTTGTATATGCCCTGACTGGGGATCGAACCCTCCACCTTGGTGTATTGAGACAACACTCTAACCAACTGAGCTACCTGGCCAGGGCTCCCTTAACTTTCTTCCCACCTCCCCAGGTCCTATCCACTTTCAGAAAAAGACTATAAGCCAGCCCCTGTGACATACCGTTTAGTTCACTTGCTCTCTGGGCTTTCCCATTGGCCTTCTAGCAGTAAATGTCAGGACTGAACAACTTCAAAACAAGTCCATATAGTCCTCATGACAGTAGAATCCAGGACACTGTGTCAAAGGGCTTACTTAGAGCATCACTGTTCCCCACCCTCCCTCCAATCACTAGAGAGCCAAAATAGGCTACCCTTATGGCCACTCAATAATTATCCCTTGGGTAGCCTCACACTGAAAATGCCTCCTGTCGCTTGGGGCACTGGAGTTCAGTCCTCTGGTCTGCTGGCTAGTCTCTGTGGATAATTAACCAGAGAGAAGAAACAAGGTCAGACTATTCTAGGGTTAAGAGGAAATCCTCTGTGAGATGCTAAATTGGGATCAACTATTGATCAGTGGAGCTTTGAAGTCACCGACAGGTAGCAGAGGTTACTGCTCCGCTTATCTTTATTACGTTCTTTCCTAAGACCTACATGTGATCCCCAGTCCAGAGGAGCATTGGGTGGTAGGTGTGCAGTTGGGTATGAGGAAACTTGGTAAGAAAAAAGAATGGTTTTCTGTCTCTTTTCCCCAAGTCCACGCTATAAACTAGGTT